CTAGTATTATAAACATTAAAAACAAATTAAAATTGTATCCTCAAAATTTTAAATTTCATCAAATTACTCCCGATGGTATAACAAAAATTCTTTTTTCTTTAAATAGTAAGAAGAAGACAAGTGAAGATATTCCAACGTTTATTTTAAAAACTTATGTCATGGATTTTAGAAAAAGTCTCACTTTTTGTATAAATAACTGCATATACCAAGGCGAATTTCTGTCCTTCTTAAAAATGGCTGATGTCACACCATGTTTAAAAAAAATGACCCAACTTATAAGTGTAACTTCCGCCTAATAAGTATTCTGCTATTTCTCTCAAAAGTGTTTGAAATCGTTATTTACGAGCAAATGCGGTTTTTTATAGAGCCAAGCCTTACAAATTGCTGTGTGGGTTTTGGAGAGGGAGAGAGTGCACAGCACGCACTTTTTAGTTTACTTAGTAAAATGCTAAGAATGCTTGGATAAAGGAGGTATAGTTGGCGCTATGTTTATGGATTTATCAAAGACATATGATTTAGTTCCACATGATTTGCTTATAGCAAAGTTAGAAGGTTATAGGCTTTCTTACGATAGCTTCAACCTTTTTCTGCTCGCAAACAGAGAGTAAGACTAGGATTTTCTTTTTCTGAATATTTAGATTTGGAATCTGGTGTACCTGATGGTTCAATTTTGGCACAAATTTTCTTTAATATTTTTATCAACGATTTTTTCTAATTTATAATAGTCTTTGAAATCTGTAGCTATGCTGATGACAACAATCTTTCTGTTTGTGACAACAACCTAGAGAGTGTTAATTCTCGTCTTCAAGTAGAAATATCAAATTTCATCGTTCACTCTGAATAAAATGGTTGCAAATCCAGACAAATTTAAATTTGTTTTGCTGGCTTAAAAAACTGTAAAAATCAATTTTTAATGTTTGGAAATGTACAAATCATGGTTTCCTCTCAGGTTAAACTTTTCGGGGTTACAATTGATAAGGATTTGAAATTTAATGATTATATTCAAAACATTTTTACTTTCCATAATTAATCTAATAGTACGAGTTACGACGGCATCTTTAAAATTTGTACTCGATCATTTTTAAAACCCATTGTTGTAACAATAAAAAAGAATATGAATTTCAAGGAAAACCGATGAAAAATTATGGGATTTTCAATTTCTATGAAAAATCGGTTTTCCCATGGAATTCCATAGATTTTCAATATTCTACGGAATACCCATGGAATTCCATGTAATGTTTCCGTAAAGGTAAGGTAAGAGCAACAAATTTACAAAACATTATTTCACTAAATTTAAATTCATTGACAAATTAAAAAATTCATGCGCTAAACTTTTGTGTTTAAAAAATATGACCATATAAAGTTTGAACCCACTCAATTCGAAGCAGCATTAAACTTTGGTGGGTGATAAACTTAAAGATTATCTAATGAAACTGAAACGCTCACACGTTAATGGCAGAGGGGCACAAAATTTAAGGCTTTTTTGTTCTTAGGCTCTAATCATAGCAATGTTTTGCAAGTCATCTGGATGATTTGCAAAAAATGTCAAAGAAGGATATCCTCATTTGACATAAACATTAACATATAAATGTATTATTCCCCATGTATGGAAGACGAATCTTAAACACTAAAAAACTGTGTCTACGCCTATGCTTGCTACATGTACATTCTACTTTAAATTTTTAGAATATTTTGCAGTTGCTGCTCTGATTTTGTTTTTTATTATTCTTTTTGACTTTATTTTCCTAGATTAATGAAACCGTTTGTAATATTTTTCCTTTCCATTGAATAGTGAACTTGGGTAACTCTAACACTTTCCTTGTTTCTTTAATGTGTTACTTTGGTTGTAGGAAAAAGTTGAGCAGCTTTTTCAGTTGATGTTTATTTATTAGGTATTGCTTAATAAACTTTTATGATAAAGAAATATCAATAGATGACTTTCAAATCTTTCAAAACAAATATCATATAAGACAGCAAAATGCCGTCATATATTGTTTTCATCTAAATAGCGATAAACTCTTTTGATATGCTCATAGAAATGTATTGCGATCATGGGTGCCGTTCTCGAATGCAGAGATTAAAAGATATTTAGTCGATTATTACTTAACTGCTTTTTTTGAAGCAATGTGAGCACTGATCCCTATCCCTTTGATTAAAGTTAATTTTTGTGAATTGATCGCGGTTAAACCACTTTTATAACTAATTCAACACCACTTTACTGCTTACTTGTCATGTAATTGACATATATACTTAACTAAGACTCAAAAAAATCCATCATCTTGTTGGATTGACTCTAAGATTAAAAGATTTTCTTATATATTCTCTCATCCGAAGGAATATTGAAACAAAACTTAGTACTTGTATTTTACTTTAGTAATTTTTGACTAAACTTAAATTTGTTCAAAAGAAAATAAAGAATATAGACCAAAATGTGTTATGAAGATGGTTTAACAAATTAATTATTTGTAGAATATATATTTAATAACGTCGAGAAGATTTTATACAAACAACGTTTTAATTTAAAAAAAAAAAAATTCACTCAGCATTGCAAGATTGCAACAATGGCACTGAAATGTTTATTTTCTTTATTTTAGACTTTATATTATTTTTCATTTTCAGAATATCTCTGCGATTTTTAACTTTATGGTCAATGACCAAACCTTTTTTGTTCAATTCAATAAAATTTATCTTTTTTGTCTTTGACAATATTATTTTTGAAGTCATTATACTTCTTCTTTTGCTTAATGGAAGGATTTATAATTAGTGACAAGATAAATCAACAAACCAAAAATAACATTGTTAAAGCTAACAATTCAAATAAAATATATGTAGAGTTTTATTTTTAATAAAACTTCTTAAGAAAAATTTGTTCTTCCTAAGATTTTATAACTAACAGGCAACGTAAACGTCATATTAAACAAAATCTGCTATAATAGTCACAATTGTTCTGGCTGCCCTAATTTGCTTACTATTATATTTAAAGTATACTTTTTTTTAAATTGACAAAGCGATAAAAGGATGCATCGAGTCTTTGCTAGTTAAATAGGTAGCTAAATGTGAGATGCTTGTAGAATAGAAAAAAGATAAGGATACTCCTTAAATTTGTTTATTCTCATCCGTAACTCATGTAAAGTGCAACTTTTAGATAAGCAATAGTCTATTATCTATTTTATACAACTGTTTTTTATTTAAAAAATCATCGGTAGCATTTTATTCATTAGGAAGAAAGATAAAGACATTATATTAAGTTGAAATCGGTATTTTTTTTTAATCCTCTATAAAGTTTTTTTATCCCCTATTATGTTAAGTTGAAATCAGTTTTATTCATTTAAATCCTATAAAAATGGCTCCGAAATCTAATACGCCGACACCACCTCATATAAAAGTCCCTAATTAAATTACAAAACTTACATAAAGTTGTATAATTTTTACAAAAATTTATACAAAGTTCACATAATAATTACATTAAGGTTACATAAAGTTTACATAATGTTCACACAACGTTTACATAAAGTTCACATGAAAACTAAAACAAAGTTTACATAAAGTTTAAATAAGATTTAAATTAAGTTTATATTAAGTTTACATAAAGGCACTTAAAGTTATATTATTTTCTAAAATCTATTAAACCTGATTCCGATAGAATTTATCTTTTTCCTTGTACGTAATTTTAAGTGCTCTATTTTAATAGCTAAAGTAAATTATATAATCATTAGGATCGGATAAAGGTTAATGCAAAAGGGATAGTTTAATTTAAAACAAAACGTTTTCAATCAACTTCTAATCATTTTGTTTAATAACAAAATATTTAAAAAATGGAATTTTACAAAATTTAAACATTGCAATCACTTATTGGGTGATTGTAAATATGAGAAAAATACATACAGGGTCGCGAAGAGAATTCATGATGCCCGGGTTAGATATCTAAAAATTTAACGGATGCCTTTACCCTACCACCACTTAAATGAAAAATAATAGGAATATTAAGTACTTCTAATATTTTTGCCCCTGACTACATAAAAGCTATAAAGGTTAGAACTGATTGAAAAATGGTTTAAAATTTGCTCAAAGATTTGAATATTTTTAAAGTTTTTTTTAACGTTTTAAACCCTTTATTTTCGAATTCAAAGAAAGACAGTGAAAAAAGGTTGTATTAATGGTTTTTTTGTTTCTCAAATTTCTGAAAGAGCTCACTGTGAGCCAAATTGCGATAAACATAAGAAATCCCCAAAGATCTACTAACCAAAATTGAAGCAGAACAACACGGAAACTTAAAGATGGATTATAAATTTCTGAGTGATTATTTTGTTTACATTTTATAAAAAGTTGTACGTTTTCAACCTTAATAAGAGATTTTTATAAATTTTACTTTTATTATCGTTTATAATATTTTATGTTTTTTTTTAAATCATACAAATTAAACTAATTCAGATTTATTTGAAATTTAAAAAAAAAAAAAAATAAGTTGAAAATTAACTAATTAACAGAGCTAGAAATTGGTTTAATTTGGCAAACTTTGTAGCCATAATTAAATAAACAATACTGTTTATTGAATATTGGTTATTCTTTAAGGTTAAAAGTTATGACGAATATTTTTTAAATTCGATTTCTTAGGTACAGGTACAAGTTATTATTTGTTATTTGGCTTTTAAAATTTTTATTCTCGTTTATTTAGTAATAACCATCTTAAAAGCATTTATCCTTAAATATGTGTCACTATTCTTAAGGCTAGAAAACTTGCTTTATCCGAGTATATTTTTTTTTTATTTCTTTATTTCAATACGATGTTCATTGTAACCTAATTTACTTTAACATAGCTGCACACTGTTTATACACAAAGTGCAGTATATTGTATCGGTAATGACACTTTATCAAATGTTTAATTTATGATCAAATAACTATAATATTATAAATAACTATATATATTATAAAAATTTGAAGATAATTTTACTTTCATTCTTAAAAATCGTTTTGCAAAAATGTTTGTGTTTTATTTTTAG